GGCATCGTTTGGATATTGATTGTAGTTGAATATCACTTGCAGGCGTGAAAAATTAGGGTTCTGAGCCATATTTTCTTTCTCTTTATTAGGGCTTGATTTTGTTTGGTTGAGCATTCAAGCCTAGAACGTGTATATAGTTCTTCAACTGATGGTACTTTAGGGATGAATTTGACAAATGATTACAAGTTCTTGATTTTGTTCTTGTTTTTCTTTCATGTTATGTAGGATTGTGAGAATATCTCTTTGCTGCGGGTATCACGCATGACACAGGAGTGTATCAGATGGCTATTGTATTGTAGCATGAGGAGAGTTTATAATTTCAAGTTATTACATGTTAAAACAAGGAACTAGTATAACTCATGCGGTTCCTTGTTTATTGCAATCGTTAGAAAGCTTTTGCCAATATTGCTGTCGGTTCGTTCGTCTCACGATCTCGAACAATAGTTAAATTCAACGAAATTCTTATTTCATGGGTAATAAGCTCGGAAGGCGGAGACAAATGGTTGATGAGAAGTATACAAGGCCTCAAGGGCTTTACAACCATAAAGAAGTGGATCATAAGAAACTTAGGAAACTCATACTTGAATCAAAGCTCGCTCCATGTTATCCGGGAGATGAAGAATCTGCGTCCGATCTTGAAGAATGCCCCATATGCTTTCTGGTTTGTCATCGCTCTTGATGGCTTTGTCTCATTCGTTTTTTACTTGGTCTCATTCATTTTTCCTGCTTCCCTTTCAGTATTATCCAAGTCTCAATCGATCGAGATGTTGCATGAAAAGCATTTGTACAGGTACGTATAATGGGAGAAATTTGACAAATGATTTATGTTATGAATTCATTCAGTCTGATTTCGCTTCTTTTTTCAGAATGTTTTCTACAGATGAAAGTTCCGAATTCCACCCGGCCTACGCAGTATCCTTTTTCACGACTCTCGTACCTCCTTATTGCTTTTTTTAGTTTACTTTAAAGCGTTACTTCATCAATGGCATGCTTGTATATCTTAACTTGAGGAGGTGTCCTTTTTGCAAAACCTCGAATTATGCTGTGGAGTATAGAGGTGTGAAATCAAAAGAAGAGAAGAGCTTGGAGCAAATTGTAAGACTCGATAATGTCGTATTTGGTATTGTTTTTTTTAATATTAGAACTAAGGGATATCTAAATCTTCCGTCCCGATTGAAACCTACCAGGAAGAACAGCGTGTTATAGAAGCAAAGATTAGAATACGACAGCAGGAACTTCAGGATGATGAGGAAAGAATGCAGAAAAGACTTGAATTAAGTACCTCTAACACCGGTACTAATGTCGAGGACGGTGAAGACAGCCCTGCAGCTGGTAAGCTTTTACATCGTTCAGGTGTTTCGTCTGTGAAATTTTTTTCTCACTTCTGAGTATTTATCATCGTTTTATGTGCTTCATTTTGCCAGTTCCATCTTCTCAATCTCCTGCCGAAGATGAGGAAGCGGTTAGCTTGCAAGATTCTTGTATGACCCAAATCAGATCGCCACCACCTCCTATTCCTATTAGAAGCAACAGGTTCTTTTCGTTCTGTTCTGATTTTGCATACACGAGCACGTTTTGATTTGCTTTGCTTCAAATACGTTTCTGCAAATGATCACTCTCTCTCACACACACACACACACGTGCGCACAAAATTTTAACAGTCATCGAATAATCTCCATAGATAGATCAATTTTACGAATTTGAACCCTTCAAGATGATCTTCTACCGAACATCGCTCTTCCAGTAATTTTAACTTTCGCTCGTTGCTTTATTTCCTTACCTGCATTTTGGACAGAGAATAAGTTGTTTTCTCCACATATTTAAGGTATTTATCTGTAATGAACACTTGGTGGGTATCTAGACACCCCTTAAGAAAGCTCTTTAATACACTTGATTTTTTAAAAAAGATATAATTTAGCGTTAGCTGCCCGAAATGGTCAGACGGGAAACGAGTGATACCTAGCATGTCCTTATTATCACTAGATCCAACATAAAAGCATATTTTCTCTAGCTTTTGAGAGGGTAAGGACGATATCAATTCCGATCACTTGCAATTTACAAATGATTCGAATGTTTAGTGAATCAAATGATATTCCTTGATCTTATTACTTGGAGTGTCACATACTTGCCTCCTAATAATGGTGGTGGTCTTGGTCCGAACTTTGGAAGCACAGTGTCATTTTGGTGGTTCATGAATTAGGGTAGGCTCATTAGTGGAGAAGCCATTGGGGTTTCTTAGGGAAGAATAATTTGCAGGTTGAGTAGTTTTCTTCTTTTTGAGATAGATAATTTGCAGGTCCGAACAAGATGGAGGGCTCTATGAATGTTTTACCGAATAGGTTGTGATCCTCACGTGCAGACAAGGCAAAGGGGCAATATGGAAACAACGCCTAACTGGCCACACAAGGGCTGAGATAAGACGAGTGCTATGATCCGACTGAGGACGGTGCATCATTTGAAAGATGTACATTGAAGCCAAGATGGGGCATAACAAGATAGAGACAAGAAGTAGACAAGAGCGTTAAAGATAGGTTTGATAAGGGTCGGGTAGGGCAACATGCCTTAATCTCAAAAGTCGGGGGTCTAAAGGAATTTGGGCATGTGACTTTGGAGTTAAGTCCGTCTATATGAAAGATGAAAGCTTGCCAAATCTGGTATGAATTGGACACTAGATGGTCGCTCCACGAGACCGTGTAATCATTCATTAAAATTATGTTTGCTCCTGTCAGACCAAAAATGTCTCAAGGTACTATAGGGAGAGGCATGGTGTTAGCTTTCCACCATCCCTAGACCCTTAAGCACATGTGCGTCACAGTGTGGGCAAGCGTTACAAGACGAATGTCCCGGACGACTTTCTTTGAAATGGGTCTTTCAAAGACAATGTCGAACGACGCAGGTGTGCTGACATTATGTCCCCCAATGTGTCGGAGGTTGGTATATACCTTGCTATCAAGTACGGAATTCGTAAATGACTTAGCATGGACACGAGAGGGTCCATGCCTTGATAGAACCCGAATGAATGGATTTTCTAGATGCCCCGATGATATGAACGATATATGGGTTAGTTCTCGATAGTATGCCCAAGCGAGCTACAATGGTGATGACATCCCGAGACTTGGGATGACACCATGATATGTGGTCCATATTGTTGAGAACTAAGATGACAAGATGAGATGCAACATTGCATGTAAGAGATCTCGACCCCAAGTAAAGGCAAGGTCGAATAAGATGACTTGGCTTAGTGTAGAGGCAAATTGGATAGAGTCATAGACGATTGAACATGCACGCACGTGCTACATGTGTGGTTAAATAAGCCTAGACTCCGCCTGAGTTGTTAAGTTGACGAAGACAAACTTCGCCTAAGGTTTGACGAAGCCACAAAGCTGGACGAAAGATGTGAACGAGGCTTGAGTTTTTTACAATATGTCCTATCAAATCTTTTTGTTGCCTTTTCCTTGGCTTTTTACATGTTGTGTCCCTACTTCATGAGATGGTTGGTTTTTCTGGCTGCTAACATTTAGAACTTTCAGGGATGATGAATTTGACCTCGATCTCGAGGACATAATGGTCATGGAAGCAATCTGGCTCTCGATTCAGGTAAATACCTCGACGTAATGATGTCCCAGCGAGTTTTAACATCTATGATATAGTCTATGGAGCCTGAAAATTTTGATGTACTCTAGTGCTAAACCAACCAAGCAACGGTTAACGTTGTGTAGTAGCTGTAATCACGTTCCAATTACCGAGTAGGGTATGGTTTCGTCATCTTCACTGTATTAAAACTGTATAAAAATTTGAAATCTTCAGGAGAAAGGAAGGCATAAAGATCCAGTGTACGCTGAGGCTGCTTCTTCTGATCAATATGCTGCAACAGAAGGTCGATATATCTCTCCAGCCGCCGTTCCGTTAGCTGGAACATCATCGTCGTCCCCGTCTGGAGGTCTTGCTTGTGCCATAGCTGCTCTTGCAGAGCAGCAGCAGATGGGCAGAGGACCGACACCCACTTGCACGAATGGAGATTCACCCGTCTTCAACATGCTTCCTGGAGCCACGGAATTCTACAGTAGGATGAACACCAATGAAGAAAGCTATCCACCCGCGCAAGTCTCGATCAACTCAGAAAGTTACGAACCTGCACAAGTTTCAATCGACACGGTACCGGACTGTAGGATGATGTTAACAAGAAATGAAGGAGAGTGGAATCTTGACCATCAATCAGAAGAAGCTGAAGCTGGGACGAGCTACCCGACATCGGATTCAACCAAAGACAATGGTACTGAATGTGCCTTACCGACAGCCAATGCTATGGACGGTGGAAACCAAGCGACAATGCCGATCATTCCTCAGAATTTTGAAGAGCAGATGATGCTCGCCATGGCTGTTTCTCTAGCAGAGGCTCGAGAAGTGTGTACTGGACCAGGTCATTCCTGGCAGCAGTGATTCTAATCATATCTAAACTCGAACATTCGGGTATAGCCAATATGAACATATTCGGGTATAGCCAATATGAACATAGCCGAGCTGCAAGCTAGAGAATGCACACAAGGAGTGGCATGATGTCTGGTCAAAGGTGAAGGTAGCAACTCCTCTCCGCGCATCAAAAGCGAAAAAAAAAAAACAAAAAAAAAGATCAAATTCTTTTAGTGAGTTAAAAATTTGGTGGTTCATTCAAGTTCATGCTTGGAAATGTTTCCTATTTTTTTTTTTACAATGATTGAAATCTTGTTTCAGTTTATAATGTTGTATGATCTCTATATGTAAAGTATGTCTCCCAGATCCATTCACGTTATGACAATCCTTGCCTATCAAATGCTTCTTATTCAACGTTCTTCGATGATCATCGTAATTTCAACGGTAATCGATGTCTTATCTATCAAGATCGAATGAGATCGAATGTCCAGATTCGAACGATTTGAAGGTGTGAAAGAATATCCAGAAGTGGCAATAGTTGAAACTTGTGGACGTCCTTCACTCCATGGCTCATCCCTTTATAGCGTATCTTTCTCGTTCTCTCATTTCCATTAGCAATCAATCAATCACCTTGAGGAATTCACCATGGCGATGGCCGCCATTGTCAAGCTCTCGCTTCTCGCAACCCTAATCCTTTTGATCCTCAGGCCCGCCTACTCGGAGCTTCCTCCGTCGTGCAAGCGCATCGAGTGCCCTAGCTACGACGTCATCGACTCCGGCAAAGGGTTCGAGATTCGGCGCTATGATTCCCCTGTTTGGGCCTCCACCGCTCCAATTCCTGATATTTCTCTCCATGAAGCCACCAGAACAGGATTTCTCAAGTAAATTACACTTTCTTTCCTCATCTGATTTCATCATTCATTTTACTTCCATATCTGATATCTGTTACAGATTAGGTTTCTCCGATTTTGTTAACCTAACTTATGAACAAATTCATCTTCCACTTCACATATTCAAATTCCTATCATCCATTGCTCCATAGATACTTCAAGATTACTAAGAAATTTCTGCAATATATCTCTTGGTTGAAATTCATTAGCCATCCTGAGCAGTTCATCTAGTTTGTCTGAGGCATTATATCAATTATATGGAGAAAATTGAACAATCTCTTGCAGGTCTCTAAGTACTGCTTAAGTAGCTATAGAAATTCCTTGAGAATTAAACTAATACAAATCTAGGAGTTCATGAGACTGAAACAGGGGGTATGTCTTTACCAACTTTCAGCTTGGCGATTCGCAAAGTATTGGTAACCGGCCGGCAATAGAGTCAGTTCGTCGATAGCCGCAAGCAAGAAGCAAGCGTAGTAGGCCCTGAACCCAATCGATCTATGTCTATCCCCAACTTCATTGTCTTGACTTGTTTATGGTGAAATTAGTCTAAAAGAAGGGAAAAATATAGGATCACTATTTAGTCGAATGAGTCTATCCTAGTTCAAAGGTTAAGGTATCAACATCTAAAAATGAGGTGTTGATCGACCATTGATTGAAAAGCCCACTTCCCTCCGACAAAGCAACTTTCCAAAATAGAGTTAGAGCGTGAGGGAAGAAAGAGACTACAACAATTGGAACTATCTCTCTGGAACACCTAGAATTGCCAAATCTCTCTTTCGCGCTCGAGAATGGAATTCTCACGAGAAGAAGAAGCTCTTCCCTTGGCTATGACGAGAGATCAAAATTCTCCACAAAATGTCCTTGAATTAAACGAATATAAGTTTTGTTATCTTCACGTTCAAGTCTCTAAACTTTCAATTCATTAGATCACATTGTTTATTTCATTAGATTGTTCGATTACATTCAAGGAAAGAACAAGTACAACGAAAAGATAGAGATGACTGCACCAGTGCTCACAGAGGTTTCTCCGAGCGACGGACCCTTTTGTGAATCATCATTTGTCGTTAGCTTCTACGTGCCGAAAGTGAACCAAGCAGACCCTCCACCAGCCAAGGGGCTTCACATTCAGAGATGGAAAGAGACATACGTCGCAGTAAGACAATTTGGAGGGTTTGTGTCTGATGCGACAATTGGAGCTGAGGCTGCTGCGTTGGATGAGAGTGTTTACGACACAAAGTGGGGAGCAGCTATCAGCAAGAGCCGTGGCGCTGGCGGTGCTGCCACTTACACAGTGGCTCAGTACAACTCCCCTTTTGAGTTTGAAGGTCGTGTCAATGAGATTTGGTTCTTGTTTGATATTGAAGATGCTGCTGCTGCTGCTCAGGCTTAGAAACTGATGCTGGAATCTTCATATGGTAAGTAAAATGTATGAAGACTTCAAACTTTTTCTGTTCTTGTTGTTCATGAATCTTTCAATAAAATAAACTTGTTTTCCTCTCTGCCTTAGGGAGGTTCTACACGTTGATCTTCGTAACTTGGATTCAAATGTTCGGGTCTTTCTAAGCGTTTTTCCTTTGGTTGAACTTTTGGTGTGTTCTATGCTTCTAGACTTCGATAAATTTTGTTTTTGCTTCTTGAACTTTGTAGTTCGTTCTAAAAGTGTAATGACCCAAATTCCACCGCTAGCAGATATTGTCCTCTTTAGGCTTTCTCTTGAAGGGACTAAAATGCTTATATGTGTGGTATAGTTCGTTCCAAAAGTGTAACTGCCCAAGCCCATCACTAGCCGATATTGTCCTTTTTTTCCTTCCTAGGGAAAGGTTTCCACACCCTTATATGTGTGGTACAACTCTCCACAATGATATGATATTGAGACCTTCGAGGAGTGCTGACCTAAGCCCATCGCTAGCAGATATTGTCCTCTTTTCCCTCGCTAGAAAAAGGTTTCCACACCCTTGTATGTGTAGTACAACTCTTCTCAATGGTATGATATTGAGACATTCGAAGAGTGCTTTGTTCGACATTTGGAGATTCTATTAACATGGCTAATTTAGGGTATGGCTCTAATACCATATTAGATAAACACGACTCTCCACACTGGTATGATATTATCCACTTTGAACATAAGCCCTCATGACTTTGCTTTGTGCTTTTCAAAAGGCCTCATACCAATGAAGAACATTCATTGATTATAAACCTATTATCATTCCCTAAATTAGCCGATGTGAGACTTTCATTCAACATTTGCTACATTCGTCATTATGACAGTAGAATTTAAAAAACCCCATTTAGTTTCGTGCTACAAAATACCCTCCAATAAAGTTTCTCGATCTGGAATCTGCTCTAAATTTTCAAATTCCAGTGAATCCTGCGGTGAACAAAAAGATGGAGCCCGACCGTCGTATGAGGTGGGGTAAAGCTAGAGTGGTGATAAGGGACCCTAGCGGGTCCGAGATAGGAGTAAATCTCTATCATTGTTATCGACGTCTCCCCTACTCATCGTCATCCCAATATTTAAATAAAATTAATTAAAAAAAGAAAAAGAAAAAGAAAAAGAAAGGTGGCACGTTTTAGGGACCAAAAATGAGACGAGGAAAATGTAGAAAGGGAAAGGGTGTGTGTGACCACACGGAATCATACGCGCATTGCCGCCTGCGCCCTCACCATTGCTTACACTGCTCCCTCCCTCTCTTCATCTTTCCCTCATTTCTCTCTCTTCTCTCTATTAATAAATTATCACATTTAAATCATTCATTATTTTCTTTTTCTTATTAATCAATCATATATATAATATTTAGTCGTCGGTTTGACCCGCATTAGATGAGAAGAGAAATTCATTATAGATTTCATGTCGTGATATTTTAAGATATATCATTTGTAGATACATGACATATCACATTGAAAGGCTGAATATTAAAGGAATAAGAGATGTCAACACGAGCATAACTCAATAGAATTATAGTAAATGAAGGAGTTGAAAAGGAAAGAATAACCCATTTAATAGTACGAGATTTTGGGTGAGACATTGTAAATCGAAACGATATTAACTTTGTTTAAGTGTTTTATTTTAGGTAAGACATTTGATCACGTGAATAGGTGGACCCAAGTGTTCATGGTTATCTCAAAGTATATTAAAAAGTGCACTTCCCTTTTGTTTTGTTGACTCAAAGTACATTTTTCGAGAAATCCATAAGAAAGTCAAATTTGTGTTTTTAACTTATTGACTAATAAACTCATAATAAGAAAGTTGTTTTTTCTTGGTCATGAATTTATTGAAACCACTCGACTCTAATGAATCAGATACCTAAATAGCTATTTCGACCTAAAAAAAGTCAAATTTGTGCTTTAGCTTATTGACCAAGAAACCAATAATAAGAAAGTTGTTTTTTTCAACGTTCTAAGAAAAAGGGTCAAAAAATTGATTGAAACCAGGTCACTCTAATGAATCAGATACCTAAATAGGTATTTCAACCCGAAAAAAGTCAAATTTGTGTTTTAACTTATTAACTAAGAAACCCATAATAAGAAAGTTGTTTTTTTCAACGTTTTAAAAAAAAGGGTCAATAAATTTATTGATGCCACGGGACTATAATGAATCAGATACCTAAATAGGTATTTTAACCTGAAAAAAGTCAAATTTGTGCTTTAGCTTATTAACTAAGAAACCCCATAATAAGAAATTTGTTTTTTCAACGTTCTAAGAAAAAGGGTCAATGAATTTATTGAAACCACGCCATTATAATGAATCAGATACCTAAATAGGTATTTCAACCTAAAAAACAACGTTCTAAGAAAAAGGGTCAATAAATTTATTGAAACCTATAATGAATCAGATACTTAAATAGGTATTTCAATCTTAAAAAAAAAATATCAAATTTGTGCTTTAGCTCATCGACTAAGAAACCAATAAGTTATTTTTTTCAACGTTCTTCTAAGAAAAAGGGTTAATGAATTCATTGAAACTAATGAATTAGAGACCTAAATCGAAAAAGTTGGACCAAAAAGTTGAAATTTTTTGAAATATTTAAGATTAGAATATAATTCAGACAAATTTTGACAACACACATTGGCTATTACTTACACATCCTCGTTTCTCACAAATAGACATCTCGAGACAACAACCCTTCTTTTCGAGAACTCCCACGTTTCTTACAAACACCAACGTGTTGTACTATTTTTGACAACTCATAATACCCTAAAAGAAAAAACAGTAATACCCTTTGTATTAAGAAGACTGTGTGTACAAGGATAACAAACTAACAACAAAAACAACGCTGATGAGTAAACTAAGAGATTAGATGTTCGAATTCTGTCATCTCTACTTATAGTTCAACCAAACTATCCAAAAGCTAACAGTTAGGGATCGAAAGTTCGAATCTCTACACGTCCATATCGAACCAAACTACTAACCCGAACATCTCCAACCCTAATTTTGGATAAAGATTATGAGGCTGCAATTCTTTCAAAGGGCACAAGCCTGTTGTCAGCCAACCTGGAGTTGTAAGCTGATCTTTTGTACTCAAACCATGTAAACTCTTTGTACAAACTTCTTTCTTCTCCTTGCATAAGGGAAGCTAAAGGAGCTATCTTTTCACTCAACGGTGGCCCACCGAAGTAGATCATTGAAACCCTTGACTTCGAGCTGTTTGTCAAAACTCTATGCTTCACACTTTTGAATCTTCCATTAGTCATCACCTTCATCGACACAAAAAGTTTCATTATTTTAATGAAGAACATGGTGGGTGATGTTTTTTTGGAGAACCCAGATGGGAAAAACCTCAAATTTTGAATCTTTTTTTTATTATGAAGAACAGAGGTTGTCGTGTTTATTGTACCTGTAAAGAGTCGCCAACATTGATGAAGAAGGAGCTGTGATCGGGAGGAACAGATATCCAATTCCCATCTGCGAGAGAGATTTGAAATCCAGAAGTGTTGTTTGATCTCAAAACTGAAATGATTTGAGGGTCTGTGTGTTCTCCAAATCCAATCATGTTTGTTCCTTTTAAAGCTTGAAGGTCTGGACATGGCGGATAATGGTTCACTCTGAAAACAGAGTCGCTCTGTTCATCCATCACGAGCTTACTGAACACGTTTCTTTGTTGAATCATCAACCCTTCCGCCATTAGCTCGAGGATTTCACCCGCCATGTTCCTCACAGCCAAGATGTAATCGTTCACAGCAGAGCTAAAACGTAGAAACAGAGAACAGAGAGAAAAAAAAAAACAGAGTGAAAAACAGAGCATTCTGGGAAAATGGGGATTTGGGTGTTTTAGTTACCGGAGTTTTTGTGGGTCTTGGCCAAAAATGGAGAGGAACCCATCGGAGTTGGATTCGAGATGAGTGTTCAAGAGGAGATATTCAACCCAACCGACATCGCCATTGCGGCCAATTTGTTTGTTTCCATAGCCAAAAGGGGAAGGAGGGCCAGCTCTCTGTTTTTCAGAGAGGGGAAGGGAGAAGAATTTGGTGGATTCTGATTCAAGAGAGGAGATGAATTCCATGGGGACACCATGGTTGACAACCTTAAAGAATCCGAGTTCTTCACAAGCTTTGACAATGAGTTGTTTAGCATCTGGTGCAGAGAGGTCTATCAATGGAATCCCAGAGAAGAATGCTGCAGAGGAAGAAGAAGAAGCAGCCGCCATGGACGTGGAGCTTCTCATTAAGGAATCAAAAGACAACTGTTGGATTGCTGGAAAGTTTTGAGAGAAGAACAAGAACAACAACAAGAACAAGAATGAATGAATGAAAGTTTCCCTTTTTCTCCTTTCTCCTTTAAAGAAACAGAGGAAGAACAAAAGGAGTGTGGAGAGAGGGAGGGAGAGGGGAAGGGTATTTATAAGAGAGAGAGAGAAGGGTAAAATGGGGATTTGTGGAGAGAGAGAGAGGTTTTTGTTTGATGTTAAGATGTTGTGTTTACACATAGAAAGATGGGGTTTTTACCTTTTACATTGTATTGGGATGATACAAAGGAAAGGAAAAATGGTGATCATCTTTTAGCACCAAACAAAGATAACTCAGATTTTGTGCCACTAAAATAGACATGACAATCTCATTGTATTAAAAGGAATTGGTCACATCAACTAGATTCCTTTGATACTTATCCATTCTTTTCTTTCCCTTTCGATTCCCGTTATAATCGAGTCGGCGATACGTAACGGGTCAAAGCGGACAATATCTAGTAACAGTGCTTGAGTTGTTGTAAATGGTATCATAGTTAGACACCGGTCTGTTAGCTAAGACGCTCGGCCTCCAAGTAGATGGATTGTGAGATCCCACATCGGTTCGAGATGGGAATGAAACATTCCTTATAAGGGTGTGAAAACCTCTCACGATGACGATACGTAAAAACATTATGTTGGTATGATGAGTATGATGGAGTGAGCTTTATGAAACGTTGATCTCCATAAGAACATTGTTTGATTTTGCTTTAATGGTCTTTTGTCTTGTCAATTCCAATCTTTAAATTTTACTTTTACGGGATATAAAAATATGCTCGTGTCTCGTGCCTCGTGCCTCGTACCTTTTTGAATTGAAGGGCGACGTGAAAACAATATATTTATGTAGTTTATTATATTACTATCAGAGAATCGATTGAAAGATTTTGAAAGAAATTTAAAGTGATCGATACTATTTTTTCTTCAGTTAGATAGAGATTGAGATATGAATTGATACAAACGTCTAGTTAGGAAAGAGAAAGTGTGACGGGAAGTAACCAAAACCCTCTTTAATGAGAGAACGAACGGAGACGTAGAATAAT